AAATGAAGACGCAACAATCTTAACTCGAGTCTGCATCAGTAGGAATTTTCGTATAAACCTTTCGCTTGCCAGGTTTAAACCTGCAAAGCGTCAATACAATATCGAATAAATAGCATACGACAGACACTCTATTAATCAGCATTTCGAGTCGATTACTTTTATTCTGGTTAAAAGCGTTCTTTGACCACTATTTACGCTCGCTGAATAAAGTGTCGTTCAAGTTAATAAGATGTTGTTGGTTTGCTTAGGGGCGAATACGTTGCTAAAGTGTCCTACTAAATGTCCTGCGCTGCGCTTATTGATCATTGATAGATAAAAGTATACAATACTTCCGTCCCGTCTAGTGCTATCTCGCTTTCCTCTTCTTGAACGTCATGAGACTATTTCAAATCAATGGTTGTTAGCGATCGCAGTGGCTTATTTTAATATCATAACATCAATGCTAGAGACATGTTACGTGGATATTGTAAAAAAATTGTTCTCATTCCAATACCAACTTTAAACTAGGCTCACGAGTCAGCAAATAAGGATAGTGCCAGTCGATAATAGTCAGATGACAGCCTCGCCTCGGTTTTCAAAGCAATGTATGGGTTGGTTGGAAGACAGCATAATTGAAGATGTCATTAGAGAAATGAAAGATTGCTGCTGCTATGGAAGTCTATTACGTACCTTGTAATAAACATATATATTGAGAGCCTAGCGCCTATATTGAGTTCGGTCGTGCAGTAGAGTCATCAGACGTTGTTTATGTTGAAAAATTCCATTTTGCGATCGCCTCCCTGAAAATATATAACGTCGTCTTGATAAGAAGATACTCGACGTGGTATCAAAACGTTCCGATTATCGTATAACCGGACATGGTGAAAATTTACTGCGTTTAGCATATTGTAAAGATTGAACCCACATTTGTTTACTTGTGGTCCTCGGTCTGTTACTCGCAAACGTCTCTTTTTATCATGCAACCATTTTTTTGTTTATTGTTTTTATCAGTCATCAACACTAAAATAAAAATGTCTTATACCTTACGCTTATATACTTTATACCCGATGCCTTATTCTACGTTCAGGCCGCAAAAAATGCTTGCCAGAAACCATCGCCTATACAGTCCATAATTACACGTTTGGTATGTTACAATGCAAATTTTGAAAAGATGGTGAAGTGATTATGGAAATTTCTTGTCATGCTATGCAATTAGCAGTGGGAAGGGTGTGACTGTAGACCGAGTTTTATATTATAAACGGAGGCAGTACACTGTATAGAATTTTTGTTACAAAAATCTTCTGGTTGAATCATTACAATCCACTATAACCAACATTTTGTTCATGTCCAAGATTTAATTCGCTCAATCTATATAACGAACAAGTAAATTAACATCGTGAAAATAAATTATACACGTAAATAGTAACGGTCTGCACGTTAACGACAATACTGACATCTAATTTAGCGCTTAATTCTGCCATGCTGAGATTTTCCTCTAAAGAGAATGAATTCAAGTTTGTGACATGCTAATTCAGTATATCAATAACATTGTTCAGACTCAATTTAGTGTATTGAATAAATAAAACGTAATTCAAACAGATATTGGCTATTCATGCCGCATGATCAAAACGCAACCAAATTCCATTATCCTGTACGTTAAAACTAAATTCAGTAAATAACTAAGATTGTAAGAAATAAACTTTACAGATAATCCTTTCTACACTTAAATTCCAATAATTATATGCATACAAATTATTCGAATCATTTTCTCTGTCCAGTTGCCGTGTTCCTCCGACATGTATCAGTGAATACCAAATTTTTGTCTGTAGCCGGGTACTGGTATCCCTCCTTGATTTGTACCCTTGATTTATACTAATTTCTCGCATGTCAATAAACTACCAATTAGAATTCAAGATCGGTAGTGAGATATGTACCTTCTACATGCAGACTACGATAATATAATCTCTGTGATGATGCACACATTATAATTAATGTCACATAATCCTATTGGTTAATCAATTATTTTCAATTGGTTAAACAGGTAATTCCTGCGGCCTGTTTATCTTTCTACGCCGTCTGGTTTTACAGTTTATTACATTCATTACTAAAGTGTCTCAAATGGCCAAGTATTTATACAAAGAATGATTTGATCAAAGCGTTCAAAAAAGATGACATCCATTGCTGCATAGAAGTGATATCGAATTAGACCTCTGCATATTGGCCATGGAGCATACGGAGTAGTTATAAAAGGGGAGAGCCGTTTTGTCAAGAAGATCCTAAGTAAGACGAACGACAGTTCTGGCATAATAATAAACCATAGCATTTACATCATTGCTGCTTTAGATAATGTTTCCTGTAAAAACAGCAACTGTAAAAAAAATTGCGTCGACATTTTGTCAATGGGGAAGGAAGGTTGTAATTAATTACCAGCTGTGCTGTCCACATTTCTATTATGCATGGATTAATTTTTGATGCAAAACATTGTATGTCAGCTCAAACAAGCTTGTGAACAATATAATCCGGTTTCTGTAATGGTATGCGTAAACGGTAATTTTGTTGCCTGACATAAGAATATTATTTTTTGCCCACGCGACTATTATATATTTTTGAACTAGTCGATGGCGGAACTTTGTGTCATCACTTGACGAACACTTTAATGGTTAATTTGAAAAGGCAAACAAGTTAGTTTTAGGGATTACCAATGGACTGAGTAATTTTACATGTCATTTACAAAAATTTAGTCATACATACGTATTAGTGGGATTGTTGAGTACTGTTATTTACGACATGCTTGTTTTATCTAGTCTTCTTGTAATATTCTTAATTAGGTTTTGCAAATATAACGGCTTCGGTTATCAAAACAAATATGATAGCACACCCCCGCATACAAAAATCCCATGTTATTTCAGGACGCGTCATGTAGACGAAAGCCGAGAAATATTTTTAACCTCGAAGTAATACTTTCGGAGATGTCTAGCGGAAAAATTGTGTATGAAGGCCGTTGAAAGTGTCAAATTATCTTGTATAAAGCCATGGCTTTCGCGATTTACCATTTCCTGGAATGTCTGAGGAGTGTATTAACAGTATTCAGAATGTTGAAATGATGACTCGTATAAGCGTCCCGCCTGTAAGAATGTTCATGAAAGATTAAAGTATTGTGATATACTATACAATTTCAATACAAATACATTTGACAGAGGATCAAACAACATCATCAAGTAACAGAGAAGCTGTTTCTATTCTAATTCAGGCATAACACAATCTGACAATGCATCAAATAGTTTCAACATATTAAAGTTCATTGGAGTTGCATTATTGAGGAAAGAGTGGCTGTTTAAAACAAGATGACAATGCATCAACGGATTTCATCAAATTATTGAATATTATGTAATTGCATTGATTGGCAAATAGCAAAAGCGTCTATCGCAGGATGACATGCATGATGCATTAAATGACGTCAACAAATTATTAAGCACAAGGGGAGCTGTCTACCTAGGAAAAACAGTATGACAATGCATTAAATCATGTCAATTATTGTGGAGTTGAACCAATATATGGACACTGAGAAGAAGTGGTAATCTTTAACTCAGAGCTAATACTAAAACATGCATGGTAGGTAAATATTTTATGAATGGAGGTTATTGGTAATCGAAGAGGAATAGAAAACTAAAAGTAATTGTGTAAAAGTTGATAATAGTAAATAGGGAGTTAAGAGAATTTGCAAGGAAAAAAAAACCAACTGGCAACAAGAGAGGTGTAAAATGACATTTTTAAATAGTATGCAGAAATTAAACACCAACTATCTGTATGCTTGCCAAACAGAATAAATACAAATTTCTTGATCCTTATATCTGCTGATGTTATAAAATGATTTGAACACATAATGAAACTTTATCCATACTTGAAACACTACACATATAAAATAAGATTACCTTTGATTTTGGCACCAAAACGATTGCTGAATCTAACTAATCGTGATATAATTGTAGACAATAGTTTAGAACCCAAGAATTATGATATGACATACATTGCTAACATACATACTCACACATCAGCTTATGCTATTTAATAATGTTATTTCAATAACATCTTATATTACAATAAATGCCTTTAGTAAAAGAAAATAACATCCTATCACACATTTTGTTCCGTAATTCTAGCTTTTAAATAAACCTTCAACTCCTTACAATTGTTAGCCAATGTGTAGGCATATTCCAACTCTTTATCTGGTTCACACAACTCAACCTCAAACTTTGAAAACAACAAGATAAGAAAAGTTTTCATCAGCTTATCAGCCACAACTCTACCCGGACACACCCTGACTGTCCCACCAAAAGGCAGGAACGTTCTTGGTTGTATCTCATCGCCGCCTTCATCCAAAAACCTCTCAGGTCGAAATGTTTCCGGATCCTTCCAATGAGCTTCATGCTTGTGAATGACTCCGATATTGACACCAATCGTCGTACCGGCGCGCCATTTGTATCCGGCGACTTCATCATCTTCAGAGGCTATTTGAACTGCTAATGGAACAATAGTGAGAATACGGGCCGCCTCTTTCATCACTGCGCTCGTGTACGGAAAAAGCGTCGTGAGAGAGTCGTAGGTGAGAGTGTTGTCATCGGCAGATAGCGTAGCATCGATTTCCGAGACGAGGCGAGATTTAACGGCCGGATGTTTGCAAATGTAGTAAACCGTGAAGCAAAGAGCGGTTGTTATCTATTACATAAAAAATTGACTTGATATATCACTTAAATAAAAGATCTGCTGACAAACAAATAGGTAATTCATTCTATTCTACCAGAGTCAAACGTCAGCATTTACTTACCGTGCCAACACCGCCAGAAAACACTTCAATGAGTATCGAAGCGATCTCACTCTCGTCCAATGGTTCCTCGAATTCTCTCGCTTTAACTTTATTCGTATCTCTCTCTGTGTTGGTAGTCAACATCAAGGTCAGCAAGTCCATCTTCAATTCCTCCTTGTCGTCCATGCTCGCGATGAGTTCCTTCTTTTTCCTTACAAGTTTCTTTACTTCTTCATCGAGCCACGCTACTTTCTTCTTCATTCGCTCTGCAATATGCTTAAAGCCTGGAACGTGGTGCCTAAGAAATGCTGGAGTCCGGGTAAAATACCTTCCAACCGAAGTTCTGTAAAGAAGACTCGAGATAAATTCGGAATAAGATTGGATGGACGATTCGGGAACAGGTTTTTGGAGGTGAGGCGGAAGGAGAGAATTGGCGTATGCAGCGAGAGCATAGGTTTTCTCTCCGGTCGTTATTTCAATTTTCGTGTCTACGGTGAGGCAATGAAACCATTTGGAGAATTCTAAAGGTGTGTTGTCATCGACTTTTTTCAAATATTGTTCGGCCTCTAAAAATCGGTTGTGCGCAACATTAAAGATCTCTCTGATATATTTGGTAGCACCCAGGCAATGGCTCAAAAAGCGTCTGTTCAAAGACCAAGTTTTGAACTTTGCATTTAAAACTATTCCCCTTTCTGTTAAACCTAATTCCCTCCACCCTTGGCTTCTCGACAGAGCCCGAACAAAGTAGTTGGATTTAATTGATTGCTTGAGAACGTTGTTCTCTGCCAGATCAGCCCGATTAAGCATGATAATGCGCTTCTTGAATATATAAAATTCAAAAACATCTCCGTACTTTTTGTGCATTGCGACCAGAGATTTATACGCATCTGAAATTTGGAGAATGTTGCCGATAATAGGAAGAGGGATGGGACCAGGAAGTGGGTTTTCCCGGTAGATGTAAGACAAGTAGAAGTTGATTACATATAAAAGAAAGAATGTGAAGAGAATATGAGGAAGGTATGAAAAATTCGTTGGAACTAGAGCGATTAATTGTGTATACATTATGTGGGTTAGCCCGCCCGTCGGCATAAATTGGTTAGCGCTGTCGATGCCTGTTTAAATGTAGATTTTGTGATCTGCATAGAATCAAACACAAATTTCTGCGATGTGATTGGTCTTGACATGTTAGGAAATTTTTATCGACTCGCATGTCCCGTAATTCCAATCAGACGTCGTGAAGCATACGCACATAGACTAGACGCATTCGAAGGTTTCAAACTCAACTGCATACGGGTAGCTTACGTATCGCTGCTCTGAGTATATTAGCATACGGTTGATAATAACACGTTAAATAATATATACTAATTTTCTGTTTTGCTCTTTGCGTTTACGTAATAAAGCCCAGGGTTACTTACAGTTAATAATGAAGACAAAGCAATATGTTTATTTGTTAAGTGTCACGTGTTTGCCATTGCATAACAAAATGAATACATTTTATACTAAGAAATCGCTATGGAGGCACAAAGTATTCCATTTTGTGAATTACAATAGTAATGAGGAGCAGAAGAAGTTTAAGCGGTCGACTACTGAATCATGTCTTTATAATATCGCTGGAGCACAGCGATACATATTGATTGTTGCCGTTGCTTTATTATCAACGCGAAGACTATTCTAACAGATGTTCTACCGTAATAGAACATGTGTCGGAATGACCTTACGGAATGAAGATAAAAATTGGTACAGTATATCAAGTAATAATTAGGTTAAAGCACAATTTGCGTATAAGCTACACTAATCAGTACAATATCAACATTATCTTACACTGTCGATTATATCAACGAGAATTCCTTTATCTGTGAATGTATTTGATAAGTATGCAGAAAAAACCATAAACATGTAAGGGCTTTACTTCAAGGCGTAAAACGTGCGTGTACGATTATGGAGGATATAAAAAGAGCGAAGAGGGCAGCCTATGTGAAAAGTTAAAGTCTCATACGCTATTTACATCATAGTTTGACCGTTAATTTACTACCACTACAGATTATTTTATTCAATTGGATAAGATTACTAAAACAACTGCTTGACTCTTTTGATGGTCATTAATGGTAGATGTTGGGTTTGATCAATAAACATATATTTACGCTGTTTTTTTTGGTAGTTTATATAAACTATTAAGTCAGTTACTTTTAACTTTATAATTAGCAGTCTGAGAGTCAAAAAATTGATTTTTTTTGTTCAGGGTAATGTCCATTATATCGACGTTCATTATATCGACTTTCACTGTGTATACTTTCTTGTGCACAAACAAATATCTGTCCAACCCGTTGTGCATAAATTATGTGATAAATATCACTCTGAGCTTATTTGATTCCGAACCCGATTGCGATTTGGGTCAGAACGTATCTAACAAATATAAAATACAACAACTTATTAGGGTAGCTTGGACGGCCTTTGTCGTGACGTTACACGTGGGAGAGCCGTGTAATCTCCTTGAGATTTAGCGTCTTCCAACGGCTGTTATCGGCAACGCCTACTAATGCTAATTCTTTTAAACAGTTAGTGACCTTTTAACAGGCTTTGAATACTTACGAATGAATCGTATCGTATACGCTAATTCGTTGATATCTATTTAACCTCGAGTAAATTATCGACGATTATGATCCGATGGAATTAAGTTTGGAAATCTACCGTTTGGGAAAGGTTTTCTAAACTAACGCGTTTATAGACAATTAAATAAATATCCTGTAAACCGATATAACATGCGAACTTAGGGGCAAGACTAAGTCGCAGCTGAGAGTTCGGATAGCGGTTTTTGCTACTCTCAGAATCGATAAATTTAATAGAACCACAGGATTTTAACTGACGAAAGAGATTATAAATCAACCAGTCAGAGTTTTATTAGAATATAAAGAACTATTCTATAGGACCGTTTGTATATTCGAATAATAAAGGAATTAAAAGTAGTAAAGGTATCCGTGGACAATCTTAGCCGAAGATCTAATAATCTGATGAACGATGATGAATGATGAAGGAAAACTGGCGCGCTTAAATAACTGTTCTTGTCTAACATATTTGCTGATAAATTTGATATAAATCGGGAAAGTATCACTAATTACAAATGTTCTAATTTTACCAACGTCTGTTAGCCC